GGGATACAGCTGACAGGGGAGACAGAGCAGCTAGAGAAGACAGAGACATAAACCATAAGACAGAACTCAAAGAAACCAAAGACTAGAAATTATAAATAATAAACTCAAAAACCCTGGGTCAACGACCCAGGCATCCTAACAAACAGCTATTACTACATTACAGCTCCTGTGGGTATCATAGACATTGGTTATCAGAAGCACTGTGGGGCTCCGCCACTGTGACTGGAATTGTAGAGATGTAATGTAATCCTGTGCAGCAGGCAGATACTGACCCAGCGTGCCGCAGACAGCACTTAAGCTTTAATGCCAAAGTATTTTCAAAAACACAGAGGTGGACCCAGGAGTAAATGATAACAAGCAGAACTCGAGCGAAACCACAGAATGAGGGAGGACAAGCCAAAGGACAGGAGTTAGACTCAGACAATAAACACACAGCAGGTAAGGAGGGCAGAGGAAACAGGTGGGAGCGAATCAGAAGACGAGACGAGGAACCAGACAAAGACCCAGTGACCATGACAGAAGAATGCACCTACAGATTTCAGACTTCACTTTGAGATTTTACCACTTGTACAAAATAAAATTAAGTAAAAAGTAATCTATAACAAATAATAAAGGATGTGTTTCGTTTAGGGGAAACGACTACCACCAATCAAGATTTGGAAGATCTGTGAAAAGGTAAAGAAGCTTTCAGTCATTTACATTTTTTAAATGGTGTTTAGCAGGTTTGACATCTGGATATTTCATGTCCTTTGCAAGTATTTGTAAAAGAATTTGGACAGTGCTTCACAATACACTGGAATTTTTTATTAATAGTTGGTTATTAATGAGCCAAAAAGCCCGTTAGGATTTATCACAGCAGATCATCTGCCTATCTGCACTTCCTCCTTCACTACATCCATGGATCTTCTCTGAGGACTTCCTGTTTTCCTGCTGCCTGGCAGCTCCATCTTCACATCCTTAGTCCAGTGTATCCACCCTTCCTCCTCTGCACGTCTCTAACTTTGTCTCCAGCCTGCTCAGCAGCAGCTGTCCCTCTGATGTACAATCAACTCTGTCCAACGTGGATTTAGTTTGTTTTATTTATTTATTTTAAAGATAGGGTCCACAAACGGCACTTAGCTTGTTTATGTTACTTTGGAGTATTTTAAAGAAGTGAATAAACAACACGTCACCACTGTCACATCCTGGTTCTTTTTTTGCTGCTGAGGTTTTTGTTCTGGGCTATGACCTGGTGTTTTGTGCTGATTGAATTTTGAATCTTGTCACTCATCATTGCTTTGATTTTGAATTTGGATTTCAAAGCGTTTATTGTCATGTGCACAAGGAAAAGCATTTCTCTGTTCAATGAAATTCTTTCTCTGCTGTCCACAGACAGATGCTGGTTAATATGTACAAATAGATAAAATACAAATAGCATGAATAAATAAATGGAGACAAAAAATGAAGTATTAAATAGATTTATGTACAAAGGAGCTGTGAGCTTAATATACTGCTTTGATATGTGAGATGACCAGAAGTGCAAAAAAATTATTATTACTGTTCAAAAATGGGTCAGCTGTTCAAGAGTCTGATATCAGTGGGGAAGAAGCAGTTGTTGAGTCTGGATGTTCTGAACCTTCGTCTCGAGGGCAGAAGTGTGAACAGTGCGTGTTGGGGATGTGTGGGGTCTTTGAGGATGGAGGCAGCTCTCCTCTGGACTCTGTAGATGATCTGCAGAGACAACAGCGGGGTCCTGGTGATCTTCTCCGTGGTTGTTAGGGTTCTCTCTGCAGGCGTTTGCCGTCCATAGCAGCAGTGCTGCCGTACCATGCAGTGATGCAGCTGGTCAGGGTGCCCTCCACGATGCAGCTGTAGAAGCTGCTGAAGATCTTGACTGGCATACCACATTTCCTCAGCCTCCTCAGGAAATGCAGCTGCTGCTGAGCCTTCTTGACCAGCTGTGTGGTGTTCAGTGTCCAGGTGTTGTCCTCACACCATGACACCAGACCGGCCTCCTCTCTCCTGTAAGCCGCCTCGTCCCCTCAGTGATGCGACCGATCACTGCAGTGTGGTCCACGAACTTCAGTATGGTGTTATCCCTATTGGAGGCGACACAGTCGTGGGTGTACAGGGTGTAGAGGACGGGACTGAGGACACAACCTTGTGGGACACCAGTGTTTGTAATAATGCCGGCTGAAGTCCTGTTGCCCATCCTGATGGACTGGGGCCTGCCAGTCAAAACGTCCTGTAGCCAGTCACAGAGGGTGAGCTGCAGGCCGAGTGCTGCCAGCTTGTGAGTGAGTTTGTGTAGGATGATGGTATTGAATGCGGAGCTGTAATCAACAAAAAGTACCCTGATGTATGAGTCTTCGTTTTCCAGGTGGGAGAGGGAATAGTGAAGGCAGCAGCGATGGTGTCTGACGTGGACCTATTGGGCCGGTAGGATTTCTGCAGGGGGTCCAGAGTTGCTTAATTTTTATAGTTAGTTTCCTTGTGCTCATGAGCGTCCTGATTGTATTGTTTCTCTGGTGTAATTTAGACGTCTTTAGGTTATCTAGTTTCCTTTAGCAGTCCCCTCTTGTTCCTTGCTCTCCCTCTCTCTCCTGCTGTCTCTCTAGCTCTCTCTGGTCTGCCATGTGTGCTATTGTCTTCCCATATCTTAGTCTGCCTGGAACTGGAGGCTTAGCTTCTCCAAGAGATAGTGTAAGCAATGAGAATGTCTAAGTTGTGGAATTAAATTCAGACACAGGTGGCCAGGAGGAGACAGAGAAGGAATACCTGTCCTCATTGATGCACCTGCACCCCCCAAGGCCCTGCATGTGTGAGGGTGTGATGGAGTGGGAGGAGCCCACTGAGGACAGGGGTCCCAGGCCCATCCTGATAGACGCCCTCCAGCTCAGCTCTAGTATCATTTTGAGGAGCCCATGTTTGAGCCTCTGACTGTTGTATAAGATCCAAGAATCATGTTTTTAAAATATATTTTGTCATTTCGTTTATTTCACAGGGTTATGAGATCACTTCAGTTATGCTAATATGTTAATTTTCCATCAGGCTGGACACTGAAGAAAACCCGCTCACTTTGCTGGATGGATTTCAGGACTGTGAAAACGTCACAGCTCATGTCATTACGAAGGAGAAGGTCAGTAAACATGAGACAGAAAGTGAACACACATTTAGATTTAAGAGATTAAACAGTGCTGAAAACACAGAGATTGTTTCTAATGATGAAAGTCATTAGATCTAAACTAGAACTTGATCGGGCTGATAAAGATCAGCATTTCCTTCCACTGAGTATCTGCATCTTTTCTTCTTCTAAAATGGGACAAAATGTGAATTCAACATGAACAAAGAAAAAGACTTACTAACAGCATTAAAACAGCTCATAGTGGTAGCTGGGTTAGCTCGAGGACGTGTTTCATACCTGATCGACACATCAGAGCAGTATTAACTTAGTTATTACAACACGCACACGGCTCAGTCAGGCCTGGTTTTGAACCCGGTCTTCATTGAAGCAGAGTGTTGTACTTCTTCCTGTTTGCACTTTCTTCAGCTGTCTGAGAATTTGAGATAAGACAGAATGAATAGTTTTGCATTAAAATGTCCCGCCTCACTCCTCACACACAAACATCACAGACGTTAGTGTAGCTGCTGCACGTTTATCTTCTAACCTGAGCAAATGTATGACAGTAAATGTGTTTAACATCCGGGTGAGGAAATCCCCAAAAACCGACTGTTTTCATGTGGACGTCACGTTTTCAGTGGGAGAAACGTTTCGTCATCATCCCAGTCGGATGACAGGAAAACATTCCCTTTTACATCCACCCTGGAATGCTCAGTCACTATCTTCTCCTAATAGAAACACACGAGGGATGTTTGAGTTTGTGTTTTGTAATTTCTAATAAATGTTTCTTTATATTTCACTTTTCTTTATACAATTTATTTTGGTTTCAGGCAGTTTGAACATGTTTAGTTTTAGTCTATTTAATTACTAGTATAATAATCAAAGTTGTGACATGACAGGGAGCACTGTCACAGATAGTAAGATCAGAAACTTTATTTCACAGCAGACATTTTAAAATGGGGACTTTGAACAAGGGCTGAGAGGAGGCAGCCCACGGTCCCAAGAAGAGATCAATCAATCAGCTTCCACCCAGCAATAAAACACTAAAACACTAAAAATGAGACTGAAAAGGGAAAACTAAACTTGCATGAACACCAGAGCCTTCCTCAGGGTCAGGCCTAGCAGCATTCTCTACTTCCCCTGAAGAATATTCTCAAAGGAGATGTTGTTAATGAACATGACACGAGCGTCTGGAAAAAAGCAGCTCAAGCTTGCGAGGAAATGGAGGCGATGGTGTTCTGCATTCCTATTCCCAGCCTCACGGGAAGGCAACTTGCTTCCTCTCTCACGCTGGAACACGAACAACCCTCGCTGTATATTTTTGCCGCCAGCAGCTTTAATCAGCTCC